TTTTCCCTTCTCATTTTTAGCTTTATACTCCCTGCTTTGGCACCCAACCAATCAACAAGCTATCATGCTATCCTCAAAATAGAGCTACTTGCAGAGTATCTTAACACAGGATTTGTCAGTGATGTTCATTTCAGAAAAACTGAACCACCCAAGTGCAAAAATGTAGTGAGCTATATTCCCTGTCTGAATGCTAGAACATCAGAATCCCATGGGAGACAGTTGAAGTTGGCAAGGTGGGTCCGTGGCTAAGATGTTGCTAACACCAAGAGGTTCTTTCAGTGTCACACTTAACATGAACTGCAGGAGAGGCAGTCTACTCATGTTGTTTCGTAAGTGGGATTTGAGTGACTGATGTTTAAGTGACAGGTAAGTGCCAGTAATAACAAACAAGCTGAGTTTTAAAAGTGGTTCATTTTATTTAGCAGTTGTTCAGGAAGGGTGAGGCATGGGTGATACAGATTCCTGTTGAGCAGTTCCACGCAGAACTTCTCAAAGTTTATGGCCGTCAGTAGGCGGCACTTCCATCTCCACATCTGACCACTGTCAGCGGCTAGTACCAGCAGGGCCCAGGCTCCATCCTGTAGTCTCAGATTCTAGCAATGAGCTCCCTATTTTGACATTTATATTGTTAAGTTTTTTTCTCAGTACAGGGGTGTGAAACTAGGCTTTTTGTACTGAGCTATACCTGTAGCCCCTATTTGTTTGTTTTGAGACAGTATCTCACTAAATTGTCCAGACCAGGCTCAAACTTGCAGTCCTGCCTCAGCCTCCCAGAGTGCTGGGATTACAGGTGTGGGTTACCTGGTTAGTTGTTGAATTTTTTGAGTAATATTTTATATTTTTATTTTATTGGGGTTTTTTTCCATTAAGTTTATTGGTACATTTTAGGTATAAAATACAGTTACATTTATCATTAGGCTCTTGTGCCTTTACATGATGTATCTTGGTTCTTATTTTTATGCCTTCCCCTGCCCTCCCTTTACCCCCTCCACCTTTCCCTATTTGCAAAGACTTTGTTTCCACTTTTTTCCTTTTCTCGTATTTTTTCTTTTCACTTCTTTCCTTTCCCCTACCCCTCCCACTTCCCCTACTCCTTTAGACCTTTTCTTCCTATTACACAATATCAGTTGTACATTATTTTAATTACAATGTCAAAATTTAGAGGACATTGCTACAGACTTTACAGAATTTAAAAGGACATAGAAAGCATATTACAAAAATCTTTTTTGAAATAAATTTGAGAACTTCAAAATACCTTAGAAGACAAATTAATGAAACTAACTCTGGAGGAAATATAAAATTTGAATAGCACCTATTAAAGAAAGTACATTCTTAGCTTGAAAACCTACCTATATGACAAAAACAGGCTCATATACATTTTAACTGAGGAATTATATCAAACATTTAAAGCAGAAAAATAAAGGAACA